TATGTGTTTCTTTTAATGTTGTACGCCGCCCTGAGTCCTTGGGAGAAGGGTGGCATATAAATCTAATAAACCAAACCAAACCATAGCCAAAATATAGGATCTCTGCATGTATACTTTTATTGGGTTTGCCAAAGCTGCTTGCTCAACCATTCATAAGGACTTGCCACCTGCCTTGCAACTATATTTACTATTTATACAAATTAACATCAATTTATTAATAACATTAAAATTAATAGTAATTTGTTCCCCCCCCCCCAATTTTTGGCTTATTTACAAACAATAGGATATCTATTATCCTACATTAAAATAAATCTAAAAATGCTTTCTTCCAAAACATCCAGAGTTTGAGACAATTTGGTATTTCTGCTCATTACCTTAAGAATTTTGATTCATGTATATCATGAGGATTGGTAAAGTAATATTATACCTGCCGGCTGTGGCATCTGTTGAACCACTAGATGGCATCCATTTACATCAAATTAATTTTTAAAAATGAAATATTACTCTTGAAATATTTCTGTTCTCATTTGTGCTCTCAGACATTTTTAATGTAAAGGTTTTCACAAATTGTTCTTCTAATTGTAAATATAATGATGTTAGCATGGGATATCATAAGAAATCATGGAGGAGACCAGTCATCACTATACAACTATTCTGCTAGTCTCATTAAAAATATGCAAATAGTGGACATCATTCATTCATACAGAACAGATCCTTTCTGTTTTCTAAAAGCTAAGATGAGGCTTTTAACAAATTATTGCAATTTTCTGTTCATAGCTCCATCCAGTCAGTCACACTTATTCCACAGTGCTATTACATTCCTCCTCCTATCTGACTTTCTAGAAATCTTACAACATTGTTTTTAAGGATTTTTATAATTTGGGCTTTCTTTAAATCTCTTATGTCCTCTTATGTGTACATAGTAAAGTGCTGTTTGACTAAAAGAAAGCCAACATTTTAAGAATTGTGATTATTAATATGGTAATATAAAGGTAGAACCTGCAACAAACATCTGTAAAGTTGAGTGCTATGCTCAGAATTATAGTTAATCCATGCTTTGTCCATACATTTACCCCCTTTTCAATATCCAATATTCTGGGATCACTGCATGAGCAGTTAAGTTCTTATATAACAGATCCGGTTACTACTGCATTTATCCCATTTTCTTGGTTCATACAATACATTGAATCACATACTAACCAATTGCACTAATGTCTGCATAAAACAATAGGCTATTAAAAAGCTATAATTGAAATTAACCAAGCTTAGTGTAATGTAATCACAATGATGTGTTTAGCTGAATTGATTAGCTTTATAAAGATCATGTCTTAAGGCCTTTCAGAGGTATTGCTCTCTCTACTCAGCCACCATGAAATATACTACCGGCAGAATGATGAGAATGGCCTTCTTGGTATTTACTCTAAGTTTTAGAAGCCCATGTGAGGAAGATCACGCTAGTTTAATATAGGTTATCTTTTTGCTAGAAGCTGATGTGTTTAATTAGTCAGGCCTTGAAATTTAAACTGTCTTGATGAAGCAGATTTTAATGATATTATGTAATTTATTTTAGTCTTAAGCACATATTTTAAGCAGAAAAACCAGGTAATAAGCAAGTTACCACTGCATGTCACCATATGCATATCAGAATAACACCTCTATTAAGTAAAATAACCATACATTTTCCCAACTTTAAGTGTTGCTTTTTAGAAATTAATGGCTTAAAAAGCAGGGCAAAATATCTGTATACAATTAAAGTGACTACATACATATATATTTGAAAGACATTTTAATTGTATTAGTGAGAGGAACGAATTGCAGTATTAAACTTCTTACTGCCATCTTACAGAGTAAGAGCAACTATGTGAAAAGCATTGGTGGCTGGCTCCCCAGCTGTTTATATACTGGGAAATGTCATCTTCCATGGATGGGAGGCGGGAGTTGTCAGGAATTTGGGGCATCCATGGCAACCAAGGGCTTGTCCCAAGTTACCATGAGGCAAGCTATTGTGCTACAGCCACAATACTATTATTCACCTTGGAGGAATTCATGATTTTAGGATCAAGGACATCAATATCAATCTGTTGTCATGGTCCAGCTGCTGGAATTAACAATCTGCATCAATCTCCATAGGGGGAGATTGTTGCACCTTCTGGATCCACTTTATTCCCAATAGCCACTTAGGGGATTTCCCAGCAATCATGGAGATTGCTCTTGGATAGATTGGCTAAACTTTGGAGGATCAAGATAGTCAAGGATTTTGATGAAGTTGCTCTGAAGTGGCTTGACTCTCTTGCTGATCCAAGAGGGTCTTTGGTTTACTGGGGAGAACACTGGAAGAGGAGATGACTAAAATATGATCAGACATAGGCATGAGCCCACATTTGTGCCTATTATGTGGCACTAAGAGCAGTAAAATATGGGTATTTTTCCGTGGTTGGTTACTGCATTCTTAGAGGGCCATCTAGCAGTATTAATTACATGACTGGGGCCTTTAGAGGCTCTAGAAACTTCTCCTTGAGCAAGTTCTAAGCATTTTGAGGATATTACCTCTCTGTTGAAGTAAACTAAGCTGGGACCACCCAATAAGAATTCTATTGATATTAAATGTGGAAGCTTGATGGCTTTTCTCTCTCCCTTTTATACCCAAGATCAGTCTGAATTTCTTCCTTACCCCTTCCTATCTTACTAGGCTAAGCTGGTGTTTTTATAATATAGCAGATGTTGCATATTTTCTTCAAAGCCATCTGCATCCTTCTCTACACTCTTATACTGGATTTGAGTTGGATGGTAGATGGGCAGACACTGATGAGATGACAGAAATATCTTGTCAGGTAATTTGGGACTTTTCAAGCCTGCGATACCTGAGGAAGTAGACAGTGTCCTCTGTAGCATGAGCTCAGCCATCTGCAAGTTAGATTCTTGCTCTTCTTGGATAATACAAGCAGCCATAGATGACACAAAAGAACTACCTTGAAGGAGTTAAATGTCCTTTCTTAAAAAGTTATCTTTGAACCCGTCCACCTTGGGAAACTGTTAGTTTATCTCTAACCTGTCTTTGAACAAGTTGTTGAGATAATGGTTAGATTCCAACCTATACAGTGTCCTAGATGAGATGGATTATCTCAGTCTCTCTTAGTCAGGATTGATGCACTGGTAACTTTTTTTTTTAATTAAAAATTGCATTATACAGATAAAACTAATACAAACTATAAAAAGAAAAAAGAAAAGATAAAAGTGCAAAGAAGGAAAGAAAGGGAAAGAAAAAATAACATCCCCCTTTATAAAGAATAAACAGCTTTAACAACTTATACTATATCTAAAAATATAACGATCACTTCATGCTGCAGCTCATCACATTCTCTATAACTCTTTAAAGTGTCATCCATCCTAATTAGCAAAAGTCCAGTAATGGTTACCAGAAATAACAGTATATTTATTTTTAACTGGATCTAATAAACTGATTAAAATTCCTTCCTTTTACTATTATAAGTCATTTTCTATCTATTAACATTCCAATCTAGTCAAAATTCAATTTATTGTAGTCGTAGACCAGTATAAATAATAAGCAAAATAACATTTAAGACACTCAACATTTAACATGCTAACTGAGGCCAGTGGATTCTGAGATGTAACCCTTGGATTTAAAAAAAAAATTCTCAGCATTTCATGGTCTGACCCTGGGGTGAATTTGCTGAGACAACCAGTTCTGGAAGGATTGGCAACTGTCTTGAATGTTTTCCACTTGTGACTAAATTTTCCTCACTGTAGAATGGTTTTAAATTGTTTGGAAATGTCCTTATAACCCTCCCCAGACTGACAGGCAGCAACACTTGCTTCTTTAAGATCATTGCTGATATTTTTCCTCTGGTATCATATCAACACATACTTCAATGCTGGAAACCAGTAAACTCCTAAAACTTCAGTTTTTAAAGAGGTAATCACACTTGCTATTGACCAATTGAGAAAGTTTTCTGATTGCTGGGTAACTATGCAAGCTTTCCGTGAAAGCTTTCTGATGGTTTCTAACTATGTAAGGTAGCTGGCAGTGGTGATAATATATCTAATATGTACTGGTGGCAGGAAGGTTAGAGTTCTTTCCTAGATCTACTTCCCTCTCTATCCTTTAATCTTTGCTCTAGGATTTGTTTCGTCTGATAATATTTCATTTTAAGAACTGTAGGGAAGGGTAGCCTGGATTTCAAAGATTAGATTCAACAGCATTGATCCATGTGAACTGAAAACTGTCCTCAAGAATAGGACAGAATGGTGCTAAGCCTTGAGGATAGAAATTTGAGTTTCAACCAAAGGTTTATAAAAGCTAGACGCACTGTTGACTGAAGTTTTATCATATGCGTCTCCACTCGTAGATGTGCATTTGAGATACAGCATGGTATCTGGAAAGCTGCTGTGATGAATTTAGTTGGTTCCCTTTCCAGGGTACATCCTATGAGATGAGGTGCAACCAGACTCCCATAAAGAAGCTGAGCTAGCAACTCAGCCTGAAAGAGCCTAAGTGTGACTGGAACAATGTTCTCTCTTGGATTGGAAAAAATTAAGGGTGGTGTTAGTAAATCTTTGTTCAAGAGCAGTAGCATATTCACAGTGAGCTTCCATTGAGCTAGTGTTTAGTGGTTAGGGAGTCTAGAAAATCTGGAGCCTTGTTCATTTTACTGAGTTTTAATCTATCTAAATCTAAATCTGACTAATGAATATAAAATACTTTACTTTGCTGATATGACTCTACCACTCTTGACTACTCCTGAACTAGAATTTTCCTACATGTTCATAATTTTTAAAGAGATTTAATATGGAACATGTATAACATGAAAAGTTATACAGATTTTCTTTTATTTGTGCAGATGGTAACTCTTCAAATAATTTGATTATAGTAAATATACAGTTTGGATGGATTTTTTTTTTTTTTTTTGCTGTACAAAAACTAATATGTGAAGCAGATTTAAGACGTAGGATTGCCAATCTTGCATAAGGCAATATGGCTGAAGGGCTATCACACATCTGTTGTAGAGCAGCGTTCTTTCCAGTGCTACATGAGAGATCATCTCTAATACTTGATTGGGCAAGATGCTTATCAAATAATAAATAGCATGTACTGTTCTGATTTAGACATAGTTCTTGTTCTCCAAAGCAAATTGCCTAGCAGGTAGCAACACATTCAGAAGCAATGTGTGAGACATACTGATAAATATCCATCCATCTGGAAAATTAGAATTGCTACCATGTCAAATAAATGCATAACATTGTAATGCAGCTTAACCTCTCTGTCCTCTCAAATGACATAGAACTGGATATAAATAATCTGTTGCTTAATACTGGTTTTTCTTTTACTGTTTGGCAATCAAAAATACAACCAGGAGTTTCATTTGAAAAAGAAAAAAATGCAGTGGTTCTAATTAAAGTATAATTTTTACCATTTGGATGGTACTGTTTTAATATGTTTCACTGCTATTTCAATATGGATGATTCTTCAAGTAGAAATGATTCCCTGCCAATAGGGAAATTGTAAAAATGGTTTTGCTAATCTTACTTCAACCAATCTTCAACCATTCAAAGGTGTAAAAATGGTTTTGAAACATATCTGAAATGCATATAGGGTACTGAAAGGGAAAATAGAGATTTAACTCAGGATTTTGTCTTTTCAATCCCCAAAATGGGCTACCTGAATGTTCCAGAAGTGATCAACTAAGAAACAGGCATTAAGGAAAAGGACCATTTTAAAGTTGGATCATATCCAAAGCACTCAAAATAGAAGTACCTTTTACAAAGTTGGAACACTTCCAAAACACAATGACTCATTTTGAAGTTTGAATCACATGTATCAGGGACACATAACAGAATGTTGTGAACTTTCTTAAGATTCATAGCCCCAAGTGGTTGTTTATGGCTAATAATTAAAAAATTTAGAGCATCTGATCTAAAAGGCATAGAAGAATGTATCTCAAGGAATATGAATAAAGTGTCAGTTATATCTAATAAGGGTTCTTACGGGATTCAAATACTCTTAATAAGTTTAGAAAATGAACATTGTTTCAATAACCCTGAAACGTAGTGTCTTTGTGAATTTATTACGGTATTAATTTAAATTGTTGCAATTATTTTTATGAATAAACATACAGTAGAATAATTAACATTTTTAAAAATCTTTCAGGTTTTCCCATTTTGTGAACTTTTTTGTACGAAAGAACATTTTCTGAAGCACTTCTATATGTCGACTCTCCATGATGACTTATATGAGAATGCTACGGCGCTTCATAATGAAACAGTTTTCCCAGAAGAAACTTTGGAAGTTTACCTTCGTTATTTTTGTCTTCTTAATATTTTTGGTTTTGTTACAACGAGAAGTAGGTGTTCAAGAATTTAATGAGGGACGAGGAATGCCATCTCATGATGAAAAGAAAACTGTATTAGATCTAGTGTTAAATGCTGTGAACAACATTAAAGCTGCAAAACCAAAAATGCAAATTAAAGCACCTCTTAGGCAGACTCATAATGCTGAACAGAAGCATTGTTTACCAGGATATTACACAGCTGCTGAACTGACTCCTTACCTTGAGCGTCCCCCTCAGGATCCTAATACTCCAGGGGCTTCTGGTAAAGCATTCAAAATGATCAGTTTAAGCCCAGATGAACAGAAAGAGAAAGAGCGTGGTGAAGAAAAGCATTGTTTTAATTTATTTGCAAGTGACAGGATTTCTTTACATAGAGATCTAGGACCAGACACACGACCGCCTGAGTATGTTGAAATGTATTTGGATTTAAGAGCAAATATTCTAGGTTTTAGTTTAAAATATGTGAAATATTGGGAAAGAGTGTCTTGAGCTTCCATTCTATATTAAGATGTGAACTGTGACTACTGTTGTTATAACTTTCTTCCCAGGGTAGGCTTCAAAAATTGCAGCAACAGGTTCGCTGCTATTTTGCTGGGTGGGCGTGGCCTAGTTGGCCTCCCACCACGGTGGGACTGGCATTTTTCACCCTCCCGGGGCTCTGGAGGCCAGAAACAGGGCCGTTTCCAGACTTCTGGAACCTCTAGTAGGCACATCCCCCCCCCCCTCTGACCCTCTGTGTGGGCCCTGCACTTACCTGGCATGTTGAACGGGCCACATGGAGACTCCTGGGAGGGGAGCGGCGGAATGGGAGGGGCAGGGTGGGTGGGCCCAACCAGAAGTGGGGGTTCACCAAACAACGCAGAATCTTCACTAGAGGATCACCTGAACCTATGAGAACCCCCAGCAGCCCATCCCTACTTCCCCCATGCCACATCATCCCTGTGGAAATAAGTCTTTCTGAAGACATGATTTTGCCAGTGAGCCTGGGGACCCCAGGGTGATAAGGGACTCATGATTGGTTTGATTGTTGTTACCAGCTGTGTGCGGGTATAATAGGTTTTGTACTGGGGTTTTATTTTTGTAAATTGTCCAGTGTCACTGTGAGTGAGTAAGATGTCTAATTTTTTAAAAAAATAAATAGAATAATTGCTAACTCTTACATCTGCAGGTATAGCATACATACATATATATATATATATATATATATATATATATATATATATATATATATATATATATATATATATATAT